ATACTTATAAAATTGTTAATGGAACTTTGTATTTTAAATTATGAGTTTCTGTTATGTTCTTAGGAAGAAAAGAAAACATTTTTATGGATTAAATACATTCGGCATAGTTCAAAATGTATTTCACTGAAGACTGTTAATGAAAGTTTTGAAAATTTCATTAAAAAATTAAAAAAATTGTATTCTAAATATTTTCTCTATTGTTCAAACTTACGATTAAATGATTGATGACGTCGTGGTACTTTTAATTCATCTCTTGCTGATTTATCATTATTATTATTATTATTCAATTCAGTTGATCGTACAGATTGACTACCGGTATCATTTTGATTTACATTGATAGGTTGATTTGAATTTGTTTGTAATAGTTCTGTATTTGTCGATATTGATGAATTTTGTTTAGTTAGTTTTTGAGTTTCACGATTTTTTGATGAATTTTGTTTAGTTAGTTTTTGAGTTTCACGATTTTTTGATGAATTTAAGAAAGAATTAACTTCATCTGATGAACTATTTACTGTATTACGATTTGATGTAAGTAGACGATTTCGTCTTGGTAATGGTTGTGTTAATGATGCATCTAATGGACGTTTTTCTATACGTTTTTTAAGATAATTTAGTTTTTGTTCATCATTATGATTTTGAACTATCATTTTATTTATTTTATTATTAGTCGAATTTGGTTCTTTTTGTTTAATCGGGCGAACACTAAATCGATTTTTTATATCTGATAATGAAGTAAGATCTTCTGGTTCAGAATCCGAGCTTGATACAGGGTTAATATCTGTTTAAAACAAATGTCAAATGTTTATTTAAGAATAAATTAATTCATACTATGTGCAGAAACGAAAGGTGCAACTGATTCATGCAAAGTTTCTGATGGATCCATTAAATCTTTTCGAAAATGACTACGAATTGAATACATCCATTCACCTGAATAACTCATCAATTGCCTAAAAATAAACAGAAACAATTAATGTATCCGACGTGGTCTAGTGGTTAGGATTTCTGCCTTTCACGCAGGAGGCCCGGGTTCGATTCCCGGCGTCGGAATACTTTTTTTTCTTTTCTTTAATTATTTCTTCTAAACTTACATCTGTTTGCAACATAACTGGCATAGCCAGCTATTGTCATTAACATTGTAGATAAGTCGACATTGCTTACAAACTTTTGCAGAACATTTCGGACATGTATCACCTGTATTAAATATAAAACCAAATGGCGTTTGACATCGAGCACATGTGGATTTTGATGTTGATTGTGAATGTTCTTTAAGTTCTGCTACTTCTTTTCGTAAATGCCTAAAAATTAATTATAACTATATATATATATATTCTGTTTTTCACTATTCTTAAAAAAGAATTTACTCTACGTACATAAAACGTGATAAATGTTTATTACGAAGATTTTCATCACGTAATAAAACATCAAGAATATGTTGTTTTTCATCATCTTGAAAAGCCGAAAGATCAGGTAAAGTCATCATATTATCCTCAATAGCAATGGTTGATGGTGATGGAGTTCGTTCGGATTTTTTACGATTATTACGAGTCATTTTAAAACTCTGAAATATGATATTACTATAAATTAAAACAAATGAATAAAAAGAAAGAAAAGAAATATATTTCTTTAAAAGGCAATATTACGAGTGAATTGAACCGTATATTAATATTAAACAAAAAAGAATTTCTCTAAAACTACGATCATAAATCATTCAAAAAGTACTTTTAAGTCAAAATGAAATTGTTGCAATTATAGGCTAATAGATTATTGTGGTATTTATATCTATGTATACATCTATGAAAATATACGTTTGAATCATCGATGATAAGTATACATCATCCTCCAAGGCATAATTGTCGAGAGAAAAAGAAATGGGAAAAGAAAAAAAATGTTTTTTTTTTGTGTTTGTTCCTTTTTTTTTTCTTTAAATAAAAAAGAGAATCTTCGGAGCGTTAACCTAGTATTTTCCTTCTTCTTCATTCTCGTTTCGGTTCGTTTGAAAAAATTCTCTTTTGTAGGTTTTTTTCTAAATTACTATTATAAATATATATATATATATTTCCGATCATCCTTTACTAACTAATTATTAGTTGCCGCGCTACTACCACTTATGGTAATATGATGCATTTCTCGACAGAACAATGACAAGTTTTAAAGTTAACCGAGGCTGAAATTAAATTGAAAGCCCTATCGGAAAATTTTACGTGTGGGTATGTTTATATTAGCAAATGAAAACATAAAACGATCTATATGCAGTAAATAAACCTGTGTGCACATGTATAAATAATACTTTTTATTTGTTTGCATAGATTTTGTACATTTTTTTTGATGCGTTTCGACTCACCTACTGAACAGAACCGACAATTAACATGTAAAAAAATCACCTGTAGACGTTGACATGTAAAAAGAAAAAATGTAATAATGTAACCTACAATTAGACACTGACGAAAAACACTTTAATTTGATAGTCATCGACTTTCATTATTTGTTTCTTTCAGTTAAAAGAAGAAAAAAACTATTGCACACATGGCATATATATATATATATAAATATATATATACATACATTAACTAATTTATAATATATACTAGCTAACATCTCACAAATTATCGAGAATTAAATTAGATACTTGCTGATGGTTCTAATTCTCAAGAGAAAAAACTCGATTGAAAGCAATACACTATAGCTTTTTAGGTATAATTAATTCAACATTTTCGTTTTAAAAAAAAAAAGAAATAAAATATTAGTAGATAGTTCAAAATTTTTTTTTCACAACAATAACGCATAGTTATACATTCTTTTTTTTTTTTTTTTTTTATTCATATATGATTTATTTGTTTTCTTTTACTACTCGGAAATGATTCGGTGATATAATTGACTTTGAATCGGTGAATAACCTCATTCACAATATTCATCGTTGTCTTGACTACATAAAGCCAATATGTTTATGTTTTCCTCTTGTGTACGCCTGATCACTATTCATTTTGCACGCTATATTTCGTGATTATATTAGAAAAATAAATGCATCCATTCGCAAATCACAACGAATTGCTAAAGTCCTTTTTAACTGAATGTATATAAATAAGATTTGAATGTTGATCTTATGCATAACACGCTCTTCCTAACATTTTGTATTCCAAACAGAACTTAAATATTTATATAAAATTAGGTTATATTATAATTATTGAAGAAAACAAAAACCGAAGAAAATGGATTACTTACCATTATGTTTGTATTATTCGTCTTTTTATGATGTTACATTATTGTCAATGATGATAATTTCTTTATACTAAATTCGGTTATTTTTTGTTGTAGACAATAATAATGAATACTTTTGCAGAAAGAAAAATTCAGCCACTGTACCTAGATTCTTCTTGCTTTTCTCTTATTTTTTTTGCTGTTTTTTTTTCTATGTTAGATAAACAAACATGCATTTGGCAAGTTGTTACTACTTCTAACAACGTCACGCACATCGTGATCTATTGTAGCGTATAATCTCTTGTGGGCAGTGGAAGAACGATGATGTTGTTGCATTGTCATCAACTAAATATGCATATGAGCAATGGATTGATAATTCTTATTCAACAAGAATAACACAATAATAAATGATAAACACATTTTATTATCTTTCTTCTCAAGGTTTCTGATGGGAATAAAAAAACCTATTCAAAAAAAAAAGTTCGCAAAAACAAATGAAAAAAAGAAACAGACGACATTTGTTGCATGTAACCAGGATAAAACTTATAAGTAAAGCATTAGTATTCTTGTGTTAGATACTTATTATCTATATTAATATTCACGTGACTTAATATAATTCTGTATGTTATTAATTCAACAAATATGATTAACTCTGTTGACTTCATTATTAATTATAAGAAAAAAGAAATTTACGTCTTTTTCTGCGGTATTTTTCTCGAAATAAAATATGTGAGTGTATTTTTTTCTAGTCTTTCAAGTCATTGGAATATGTTATTTTCCTCTATGTAATACATAGAATAATGATAACAAACAATTATATGTTAAGAGCGTAAAAACACTTGACACTTGATAGATAAAACATAAAGTTGAATACGATTATTTTGAAGAATGCTTTATTTTCAATAGAAACTCCTTCAAATTCTATTCTATAATATGAAGATAATTATATACTTCTTTTAAATCAAATTGAATTAGACACATTGTTTAATAAATCAAGAAGACTATGAAATATTGCTGCATAAAATGAGAACTTTAATTATATATATATATATATATTCATGATATTTCAATATTGTTTATTGCTCAAAGGAATGTATTTGAAAAAAAAAAGAAATTTTCTCTGAATAAATTCATTTAAGAGGTAGAAAATTTTGCAATTCTTCTATAAATCTCATTAAATATCTTATTATCAAACGGAAGGAACTAGGCTAAAGGCAGATGTCTGGCAGATGATAAACATAAGAAGGACCCTTAGGATCGATAAACAGCTGCAGTGAAGGCTGATTCTGCTAAACTATATCTCTTTTTTGATATGATGACAATTTATTAGATGCCTCTGATAAGTCCAATCATTGAAATAAATTCCGATATCTTCTTGTTTCCGAATAATTTAAAAAAAGTATCATGAAATACTTCTAGAAATACTTGTTCTAAAAAGAATTTCAATAATTCATATGAGATAAACAAGATTTCTTTTGTTTTTTTCTAATATTATCTTCAAAATATTCATGCATTAGATTTTAATTTAATATTCTTGTTCCTTAGAATGTAAAACCCATCAATCTTAAAAATCTGATCAACAACTTCTTTATCTTATGTTTCGTTAATTTATTTGCTTCAATATTTAATAAATAAGATAACAGAAAACGTATTATGTGTTATACGGAATGGCACAGCCATCCTGTCTTGTACATAACTTAATAAACCATAAAATCAAATATCGTATATGACATCTTGACAATATTCTATGAAAGACTCCCGTATTATCTAAAGGCATAACGACTTTTTTTTAATTCTCATGTATATAATTAACAACATCAAAAAAGAATTTTTCTTCTCTAAAAAGCAATTATATTGAAAGTGAATAATGACAATAAAAAAATTACTCTAGCAATTTAAATATTACTTCTCATTTCTAAATAAAAATGAAGAAGAACAAACGTGATGGAAAATAGTTTCTATCAAAAGAAGATTACAGAAATACTTATGTAACAAGTTATTACAATCGAAATAAATAAAGCTCAAAGTGAAAAGAAAGAAGAAAAAAGACCCTAGGGTTTTATTCAATTATTTACAAATAAAAAAAAAATGTTTTGTATAGTATAAAAGTATCAGGATATTTTTAGAAAGTATTTCAGTTTATGATACCTACGGCATTCCAAAAGTAGTGTCAGTGACACTTTAATACCATATAGTAAGTAAGCTTTAAGAAACTTTCTCTCTATACAATTTGATAGATGAGAGAATGCTCTATTTTTCTATTCTATTTGATCATACTTCAACTAATATCATAATAATAAAATTTCGATAAGATCTGCTTTTCTATCACATATGATGGTTATACCAATGCCTATTGAGTGGATATTTTTTGAATAATTCTTGATACAAACAAGATAAAGAGCTGCGATTTTCATCGTTCTAAAGATAAAATGAAGATGCATGAAGTCATATGTTATAGCTTTCCATAGTATGTTGTCTGAAGTTTTGTTTAATCAATTTTGCAAACGTGAAAAAGATGGTTTATTAGCGAAAAGGAAACAGCAAAAAACTCTTTTCAACAAAAGTTGTCAGAAAAATCATTTAGAGCTTCGACTGTAATGCCTATAACTTCGAAATAATTAATTCAAAATATCTGAACCATCGGCAATTGTGTAGGTCTTCTTTTGCGATTTGAATCCATACCTGATGATTGAGAATTCACTGTAAACATCCAACAGAGTAGGTTTGCTTTCAAAGAGATCGATGAAAAACCTTAAAAAAGTCATGTCAACAAATCTATAACATACGACTTGATGCATCTTCATTTCATCTTTAGAACGATGAAAATCGCAGCTCTTTATCTTGTTTCTATCAAAAATTATTCAAAAAATATCCACTCAATAAGCATTAGTATAACTATCATATATGATAGAAAAGCAGATCTTATCGAAATTTTTTTATAATGATATTAGTCGAAGTATGATCAAATAGAATAGAAAAATAGAGCATTCTTTCATCTTTCAGACTGTATAGAGGGAAAGTTTCTTAAAGCTTACTATATGCTATTAAAATATCAATGCTACTACTTTTGAAATACCCTAAGTAGTACTTATACGATTCTTTTCATTACTTTACTTATAATACAGTTCGAAAACTGATTACTCACATAAATCCTATTCTTTTTTTTTTTATGTCAGAAATTCAATCAATAAAAATACAGCTCATTTCTATTCATCAAGTTCAACAGCTTTTCATCGAGAAGAAAAAGTTCGATTTATTCCTATTGAGGATATTATTGTAATCGAAGTTTTTATTGAAATAAAAAGAAAAAAAGAAATTCAATTTGCCATACATCATTTGTAAACGTTTACAAGAAGAAAGAGTCTTTTTTTTTCTGAAATATGTAATAAAGAAACAAACATTGATCTTTACTTCGTACATTTTAGTTTAGAAGAATTTCGAACACATATAAAACTCAATAGGACATTCTGTAGACTATTTTGGACACTAAGAATTTCTATCTAAAGTATTTCTGAGCATGTTTAGGTCTTTCAAAAAACTCTATTTACTTTTCCTTAGCGGTGTGATGGATTATGGAGAAATGCTCTTATAAGCGAATGGGAAGATCAAAATGGTATAAATCCTTCTTTAAAATCTCTAGATGATGCGAGAGGAAAATTTTTTGTTTCGGGACTTGATAAAATCTGTCAAAGCCAGTTTTTAAGAGGGAATTTTCTGAAGTTCGATTTCGTTGAAAACTTTGTGATAGATGCCATTCACGTCGTAGAGGTGATCCTGAAGTTTTCAAATCTTTTTCTCATACGGTAAGACTTATATAAAAAAGAACCCTTGTAAAGAACCAAAACCAAATGACCGGTAGTGATGTTTCGTTTTATCTGAAATGGTTCATATATCATTATATATTCAACTTTTATTAAATAATTAACGAAATGATATTTTATTAGAAAAAAATGAAAGAATTCAGTTTTATGCATTATACAGAAAACAAGAATCTGGAAATTAGACAAAATCAAATGGAAAAATTGTGTCTATTAGTTTTACTAGTTCAAAATTTTTTAAATTCGTTTTTGTTTCTTCTTGCACCTATCTCGAACGAAAAGTTTGTTCGCACTATTACCGGTATACCAGTAGTAGATTGTCGGTTACAGAACGATTATCGGTTTATCGCGTAGAATGCCAGCCAGCGGATAGCCAATCGCTAAAGTCTCGAAATATCATTGATTGATCGTCAGTATAGCGATAGTTTATCGACGATCTTTGTTTGACTTAAACGATATGGACTGCAAATTGAGTTTGACTTTGTTTTATGATTCAGAGCAAATCATTATCTGAACTTGAAAATATTTTTAAAAAATGATAAACTGCAAATTTTAATTAAGATTTTATAAAAGATATTCTAAAGAATTCCTTGCAGCTTACGCAGTGTTCGCAGTTCCTATAGGTACCCTTTATTGAAGAACAAATATATTTACGTATAGATGACAAAGTATTGTATTACATTATATAGTTGAAATTTTTTTTGTAAGAAAAAATTTAAGTTTAAAAATCACAATGAAACCAACAATTAAAATGACACACAACATCGATTATTTTATTTGTCGCCTATTAAATACAAAACAAGAATTAACAATCATGTTTCCTAAAAACATAGTATTTTACATACGGTTTTAGAATATATATTTGTCCTCAAGACTAAGATCATTAGATTGAACTATTAAATCGTTAAATTTTTTTTCCAGACATTCAAGTTCTTCGCCTTTAGTCATTATCTATAAACAAAAAAGAAATGAAACGAATAAATCATTCAGAGATGGACAATTTAGTGATTTTTCGATCACAAATCAAGTCAAAACTCAATTTCAATTGATTTTTTTTCAAAATATTTGAACATGATTCGATAGAGGTCATTGCATTTCCTATAAAAATGTTGTTTTTTTTCATGTTTTCACACCAACTTTTTATTTTATAAATACTATTTTTCGAAAACGAGTTTAAAGCGGTATTATCTTTTAGAATGTTGTTAATATATTACTATTTTCTTATAGTAAGTGGCAAAACTATGCAAGACAGTTACAATTGTGTTTTTATTTAGCAATTTTTTATTATCATATCTTAATGTGAGAGTATAAAAATAGCATATTCAGAATCACCATGAAAAACTAAATCGGGACAGATATATTTTACTAAAATAAATTTTTCATGCAAAACTTGTCTGTGTTTTTCATCAGCAGTCTTTTTTCAAAACTTTATCCGTGGGTCTCGTGCAAAGAGTTTTTCGTGAAAAACTGATTTTGTCAATATATATTTGTTTCGGTGTAGTTTTTTGTGGTGATCCTGAATACGCTAGTTGTTTTGCTCTTAAAGTAAGACACAATAATAAAAGCTGCTGAATAAGAGCGCAATTTTAACTATCTAGGTTGATTTTTGCCACTGATATGAGGAGAAATTCAATTTTCTCAAGAAAAGAAGGAGATTATCCAAAACCCATGCATAGTTAATTTTGTGGCGAATATAGACCAACTATGATTAAGAAAAAAAGATCATTTCACTATGTACCTATGAAGATATGAGAATTTTGGAGGATATTCTTTTGGACATTATCAAACCTATTTATAGTCCTATTCATGTTCGGATTGCTCATTATGCCGTTTCACCTTCAAGTCTCGTTAAATAGCCTTCTTCTACATCCAGCATTTCTAGAAACTCAAAATAAAACATTTTGAGAAGACAAAATCAATGATAAATTGTCCAAACGTACAAATTTGTTTAGAAGTTCTTCTATTGTGTTTCATTTATTTTCATGCTTTTTAATAAAGAAGAGTTTTTCAACAAATCAAGACGATTTTGAGAATCTTGAAAGATATTTTTAGAATGTTAAAAGCTGAAAAATAATGTTGACCTCAATGTTTTTCACGATATTTCAAGTAAAAACACTCAAAAATCAGATACATTTGGATATAAATATTATAATTAATTTTCTAGTTTGCGAGAAATGTTATTTAATGAGAGGAGTCTTTTATTGCCCAGAAGGCGTTTGTTTTAATGCGAATTCATAAATAGTTTAATATTCAAATGTTCTCTCGTGTGAAGTCACTTGATAAATAATTGGTGGCGAAGAAATAATGAGCGACTTTAATAGTGCATTTTTTTGTCTCATGTAATTAGAAGAATTCTCAGAAAAAGTTTCATTCAATATAGAATTGAATTCTCCACAAAATCTGATCTTTGCAATTTGTAAAGTTCAATTATCATTGGAACAATATTCAAAATAAGTACAAACCTGAACTTCAAAACTATAACTGCTTAAAATTCGATATATTTTCTCTTCATGTTTATTGCCGATTCTCTATCTGTTTTAACGTCATCAGAAAATTCTTTGTTTAGCAATACATTTTTCGCAATTTAGAAAAATTTTCGAATTTAATAAATAGTGACCGATTTGAAAAAATCCTATGTACGCAACCATCTGTCACATGCATTATTTGTTGACTATACATCAATAAAAGTTCAATGAATTTCGAATTATTGTTTTATCAGTCTATCCAAAATTTAGTTCTACGTTTTTTCGTTCCAACATAAAAAATTTGCATGCATACCAGAAACTAACAAGTAACGCTCGTCGCTGGGACTCGCTTAACACTCGACTGAATAGTTAAGGCTATTTGTATAGTGTTTCATTTTTGCGGAGCCCCTATGACCGAATGGTTCAGTTATTTGGTCCGTACTATCAGATACCGTGTTCGAACCTTGGTG